TGTGTGAACGCAAACACGACCTGGGATTGCTTCTGGGATTGATCCCAGGTTGGGGACCTAGTAACATTGCCGTAATCAGTCCCGGAACGCGCGCTGTGTGAACAAAAGCCAGGACCAATGCCGTAAAGGGTGTGTCTTTAGTGATGGCGCTCGTGCCATCGCGCGACTCTGTTGCTCTTAGAAGAAAGTTTGTGTTCGTCATCAACAAAGAAAGGACGAACAAATACCTGCAAACTAGGGCTGCACGTTTTCAAGTTTTTCATTAACCGTTAACCGAGGCCCTTTCGGTTAATACTCGGTTAACCTATAGTGTGCGCGCCGCAACCTCGATACAGAGTTATTTTTTAACATCTTTAATAACTGGTTGGACCCCATTTGAAACGAAATTAATTTTTAGAAAAAAAAAGCAGTGGTAAGTTCAGAGCAGTAAAGCCGCGTTTCCATCACCCTTCAAACTGAAATTGCCAACTGAAAATACGCACATGGCAATTCCATTTCGCAAAAACTCCGTGTCCGCAAATAATAATAATAATTATCATTATTGTAACATTTTATAGGCTGCATATGTAGAAGACGCTTTTATCCAAAAAAGGAGCAAAGCACAAATAAACACAATATTTTGACGCATATCCAGTGTGCATGTGGAGGCTGCGAGACGCCCATGAACACTTGCAGTTTCATTGCAGTTCTTTCAGTGGAAACAACTTAAAATACTCTTTCATTTCTGGTCATACAGAAAATAATATACATTATTCGCAAATACATTTATTTGCGTAAACTCACAATAACAAGAAAACGTTGTGCTTTAACAAACAGGCGCGCTTCATGATTTCCGTGAACTGGAGCGCGAGAACTGAAACAGCCACATTCGAATTTGTTTGTTTTAAATTGGACATTTAAAGGTTTAAATGTCCAATTTAAAACGAACAAATTCGAATCAAAAGCCAATATCTTCTGACCATGTAATTATATAGCTTAGCTAATTATGTATTTAAAGGGCACCTTTCACCTCTCTAAAGGTGCATCCGGGGATGGAGATTTGTTTTTAGGAGAAACTGATTTAGAAAACAATAGTTTATTAATAAACAATTAATGCCTCGTTATTTTATATTATTTTAATATCAGACACATTTATTATATCTTATAAATCATCTATAAATCCCCTTTCTGTAGGCTGTGGTTACGGCTCTTCTCATTCAGCACTGCGGGGGAAATATAATTTCCAGGTTCTAATTTGGCCTCAGAAAACCAGTAAAATCTTTTTTTTTTTTTTCCATATTCATTTGTCAAATATTTTAAAGGTTTAAAGGGGCAAAAAAATCAAACAAATATCTGAAAATTCGTCGATATATAGCCTAGCCTATATTTTTGCGCATGCAGCATTTGATAGTCCTACAGTTCAAAAGAACATTTTGGTGTTAACTCTGCGTTTTACAAAATACAACAACCGTTTATTTTTCGTTTTGCAATTAGGCCTATACGGATTAAATAAGGTGAAACAAATGAACACAACAGTACACTGACCGTTTGGACATATACGAGGCAGAGTTCTTTTTTAAAATTCATAAAAGATACAAGGAATAGCCTACTAGACAAAACCTCAAAGAAATGCCACAATCAAGACCGCGGAGCAGAAATGAGGGAGAAACACACAGAAACTCTGAGACTTTCCCTGCCATTAATGCTTGGATGACACACCACGTGTCCTTCCATAAATAATAATAATGTCTAGTGCGGTGGCTGTGATATACCAACGTCCGTTGCCATTATTTTTGGAATGGCTTATCGCGAAAGGAAAAAAAAATGTTTTAGTCGCATAACACCGTTAATAGAAACGCTGTCATTTCACAATATTTTTTTATCGACAATCCGAAAAAAAGCAAAAGTTTTGTGCAAATATGTATTTACGCAGCCCATTCTCACTCCCAAGGCGTCACCTAACTGACGCCTTGGGAAGCATTTGGACATGCTTCAATATCTGACGCTTTAGGCGCCCTTTAGCGTCAGTTAGATGACGCCCTAGGATCGCGTGTACCCTACCCCCACCCCACACCTAAACCTAACCGCGTCCTCTAACAGACGCTTTCCTTTAGCGTCAGTTAGATAAAGCCGTAGGATCGCGTCATGTAAGTGACGCTAAAGGGCGCCTAAAACGTCAAATATTGAAGCATGGTCAAAGGTGACGCCTTGGGGTGAGAATGCGTTGATTTACGCCACTTAACCGAGCAAAATGGTTTCACTCGGTTATGCAATTTTAAACGGTTACTGCTAATCGGTTAACCGGTTAACCATGGACACCCCTACTGCAAACTGGAGCGAAGCAGAGACCAGGAGCTCCTCACTATCCGTACTGAAGCTGAGATCGTTCACCAGTGCGTGTACGGTATGCGCGTTTACATGTTTTCGACGTGTCCGTTATACGTCTCATCCTGACGTCGTGTGTCTTCCCGGGATTTTTACGGGTTGTGTGTGAACACACACACAAATCCCTGCAAATCACTGGCAGTGTGAATGAACCGAAATCAGACAATTCCGGGACAAATGCTGGGTCACATTATCCGTGTAGCCTATTTTCTGGAATCTCTGTGTGAAAGGGGCTTTGTTTTCTCATAAATTGACCAAATTAAATTATGTAATTGCAAACAAAGAAATGGCTGGAATGGGCTTATAAGGTACATGTGTATCAAATAACACCCACTATGGTTTTTGATGTAAATTCATTGCACTTTATTAAACAATTTAGCTATTAGAGGGTAACTAAACCCTAAACCAACTTTTAGTTAATGATCTGCAAGAATTAGTGCTGTTTGTTGATTCAAGTAATTTTTTTGACATTTGGGTATACAGTGTTTTAATTCTATAAAATATGGTGTATCCTCTGCTGATCCTGCAGCCAATGAGATGGCTTGCTCAACTTTGAAATAGTCTGGTTCAGTGTTTTGAGGTACTCTGAAACCCTACACCTTCCAGCTCCACCTGTCAAAATAGAAAGTAACAAAATAAATAGAAAACGGAATTAAACAAAATACAAGATGGGCAAATATTAAAATGACATTAAAATTCCTGGGAGAAGAGATATTTTTTCAGCCTCTTTTTAATAATGATAATAGAAGGTGCAAGGCGGATATCTAGTGGCAGTTGATTCCATAAACGAGGGGGCAGCAACTAAGAAAGCTCTATCACCCTTTGTTTTTAAATGGGATTGAGGGACGTACAATGGAAACCTGTCAGAAAATCTTAAAAATCTCCTAGATGAATGTGGAGGAAGAGATCTTTGAGATAAGAAGGAGCTTGATCATTAAGAGCTTTAAAAACAGTCAACATTTTTAAACTGGAGCCTAAAAATGGACCAGGAGCCAATGGAGTGACGTTAAAATTGGGGCGACATGCTCATATTTCTTTGCCCTGAAAAGACCAGGCTGATAGAGGACTTGTACAACTATATGAATAAATAATATATAAAAATATGAATAATAGTAATGCTATGTAAAATTAATATACTAATATACATTAAAGTAAATATTGTTGAAAAGCTATTTCTAACTCCAATAAGGTCCTAAATAGCACTTTCAAATCCTTATAAAAAGGGTTCTATTTACCACCAAAAACTGCTTGTATAAGTATAAGAACCCTAATTTGGTACTGTTTAGAAAATCTTTTCAGATTGCCTTTTATTAACCAATGTCTTTATTTAAAAGTTATTTAGAATTGAAAATATATATAACAGTAGGTGGGCTTATATGGTACATATTCTTTTTAGGGTCACTTACCCAATATAATGGCTGAACAGTTCTCTTTGCTGTCATATTACACAAATATATTTTTTATAAATAACGGTACAGCACAGTGTTACTGAAATTTCCAGGGCATTTGAAGTGAATATATAATGTTTTAAAAAAGAGTTAGCAATTATTTTACATTGTACAACAAATGTCCACTTGTTAACTACATTTTTATATATCCTGTTGTGTGTATATGTCAGTGGCATGGAAATATTGGGTACATAGAGAAACTAAAATATTATGTAATGGGCCATCAATTATATAATTTTAATCATGCTTTATATAAAAACACACAATTAAGAAAAGTCTTTCAACGATATTACATTATTGCAAAGCTAAAGTTTTATTGGACCCACACGCAAAACCTAAAGGGTTACTCGGGGGACATTTAAATATTAGGAGCGTTGCTTCAAAACTACTTATGGACTCAAATCTGGTTTTCCTTTGTTTGTTGGAATCATGGCTGAAAGTCGCATCACCGGACACAGCATACTGTACGTGGGACTACGATAAAACCCTTATGCCTTTACAAACATGCAGTAAAAAAATAAAATCAATTAAAATTGATCATTGTCTTGATTAAAAAAAAGAGAAACTACCACAATTACACCATTATAAAAAAAAAAATCTAAAAATTTAAGTTTTGCTGACCACCCCCACTAAAGCAATGTGTGTCATTTTGTAGAGATGATGTAAGGGTCACCAGGGCTTCTGTAAGGGGTGACTGTCACACTCCATTCAGGAAAACTAAATTTGGTCAATCAGCTTTTTCATAGTAGAAAAGTGGAACTTAATCCCACATTATATTAGAGATTTTGCAAGTCTTAGTAGTTTTAAAAGGTCCGTAAAGATTTGGCTGAAGGCGAATCAAATATGTGATCGTTGACCTTTTTACATATTGTATATTTGTATTCTGGTTTATATGCAAGTAATGTTTATGTTGTACTGTTTATTTTTCCTTGCCGGAACCGCAGATGTAAATTAGCCGTACAGCTAACTCTTGCACGGAGCTTGAACTGTGCATGGTCTCTGACAAATAAACTAATAAATAAATTGCATGTAAATAATTGAATAGGCATTAAAGAGCACTGGAAATGGGAGTATGGGAAGCATGAAGAAATTATTATATTTTCTTATAAACAGATAACTGTGCTGTGCAGAATTAATGTATTGTATTAGCAGCCTTTATTCAATTAATTAAACAAACAGGACACAATCTGAGCTTTGTCTACCACTTTATTTTTTTAGGATCACTTTTACCAGCCATTAATTTAATGGTAAAATTTCTGTCCAAATAGTATGTATTCATAAGCTGTGACGTGGTCAGAGCAGCAGTAGTACAAGCATATTAAGGTGTAGAGTGATGCCCAAGATACACAAACACACACACACCAGCTCCTGGACTTCACTACTCTGAACAGCAGTTCAGCACTCTGAAGCTATAAAATACCATAGTAAAGTCCTTTTTGAATGTTGCAGTATGATGCACACTCTGGAAGGATGTGACATATTTCATTTGCCTTTAAAGTTTTGAATGTTGGGTTAATGTGTGAATATGTTAAAGAGGTTAAATAACCCAAGGTTGAACAGATATGTAATAAATATACAACAATGACATTTTCTACAAGATGTTTTCATTGTGGATTACGGTTAAAAACGAGAACACGTACAATCGAAGTGAAATACAAAACTGGATTGCTCAGCGAAAGAACTGTAGTCAATGCATTTAACATAGGAACCATTTAAGCTACTTTTTTAAATAAATAAATGACACTACAATAAGATATTGCCCTGTTTACATCAGAATGGTTGCTTTGTGTTATGGTCCCATTTTAAGGCTTAGATCAATTAAAGTCAATTTAAACATTTAAATCATAACTTTAACTGTGATAATACTCCTTTTGTAGCAGTAACCAATCATATTGCACTTTCATTAAAAAAAAAAACTGAGCAGCAGGGCGAGATGGGGTTCAGTCTCTAGAAACAGAAGCAGATTGAGTGAAATGTTTGTACAGCACATGGATATGCTAAATAAATACACAAGTGGGTTGGAAAGGAACGCTCAGTTTTTTTTTTGCTGCTACAGTGGGTCAGTCTTTCTATCATTTGTACTATTTTAAATGTACATTCGTTTCACTCCGCACTCGCAGCAAAACTTGGCCCAGTCCACAGGGTACTTGGTCCCACACTCATGGCAAAACTTGGTGCCTATTGTAGAGTAATTGTTTTCATGTTCTTTCTTCACATCATTCCTATAAACAAGACCAAGATGTGCATGAGTCAATGTTGACTATTCAAAACAAAACTGTGGCCAAAAAGATTTAGGAAAACTGGCCTAAAACATAAACAACTATAGACCTTTTGTAACTGATGGAGTGAACTAAAGTGTTGTTCTTCTTGAATAGGGACCCATTAATGAGTTGATGAACCTTCATTTGCATTCATCGCCAGTCCCAACTCCCAAGAATGTAGCAGTGCAGTACAGCAAAACTTGTAACAACATACCTTGAATTATCTGCATTTTGGACTTTCTTCTTATTCATCCCTATACCAGAAGGTGGACTTCTCAGGGAGTTTTGCAAAATCATACCCTTGGGTTTCACATTCCCTCTGCAAAAAAGAGCAATGATGGTCATAAAACCTGGCGATAATGTCAAAAATCAGGATTAGTCAGTGACTCTGTGTCTTACTCAGAAGGAGGGCTGTTCAAGTCGAATGAGTTGTTCTGTAACTGAGAATATCCTGATGATGAGCTCCTCACTGAGCCAGTGGATGATGTTTTGCTGCTGGGAATCCCTGTGGATAGAGCGGGGAAAAGCGATTTTGATGTGCTTATTTTAATATGATTAAAAAGTAGCATCTCTACATTTCATGATCTGTATTGCAAGTCTACAGCTATAAAATTGCTTTGTGTTAGAAACAGATTCAGATAGCATTGGCCCTTACATTTAAGATCTTCTAGGAGCCAGTTTTATTTTAGTATCATTGAGATACTGTAATAGTTTATATATATATATATATATATATATATATATATGTATATATGCATATATGAAGAGTTCAGATGCAAAAGCCTTTAAGTGCCATTTGAAATTTTCTTCTAGAATGATCATTTTTATCAAGCTTGTATATTTAAGTTCAGTAATTTCACTTAAATCTTCATTGCAATTTAAGTGAAATTACTGAACTTAAATATACAAGCTTGATAAAAATGATCATTCTAGAAGAAAATTTCAAATGGCACTTAGAGGCTTTTTTATCTGAACTCTTCATATATATATATATATATATATATATATATATATAGCATTGGCCCTTACATTTAACATCTTCTAGGAGACAGTTTTTTAGTATCATTGAGATACTGTAATAGTTTATATATATATATATATATATATATATATACACATAAAGTATAGTACACACACACATATATATATATATATATATACACACACATACATACATAAATACATCAGTTTTAGTTATTGTAGTACATCAAGTTAAACTAAATAAAAATGAGAGATGCCATCTTGTTAGTAGCCAACTAAAATAAAATTTTATTTTTAAAAGTTTATTTTTAATATTTTATTTTAATTCAAGTTTGATGGTTTTACATTTTTACTGTAAAAATACTTTAAAGCATATATATATATATATATATATATATAACTGAAGACTCACAATCTCATCATTTAACGTTGTTTTTAGTAGTATTATTTTTGTTTTTATTAATATTCATAATCTTTTCATATACATTCATAATTTTGTAATCATTGTGTTTTATGAATCATCCTTTTCTGAATACTGTATGTGAGAGACTTTGGGACACTTTGGGAGAGTTGGATGAATATACAGTGTTTTTTCCATGGAGCATAGAATATATATTCCTACGTTAATGGGAACCACATGTCTCTCTGGTAATGTAGTTACATTTTTTTTTTTTTTTTCAGCCTATATGAACTGAATCCTATTTGTTTAAGGCAGAGAGAGAAACGACTGACAAGCAGGAATGAAGATCTTTGCTGGTTCATTATCACTCTCTCTCCCTTATGTCTTATATAAATTGGTAAAATAAATAAGATATATTGGCAGAATGACTGGTGTCTTTTTCATGAAATTAAATAACAAGGGGAAGCAAGGATTTTAAATCTACAATAATTTCTCTACAGAAAATTTGGACTAAACTAGGGATGCACCGATACCGGCCTCGATACCACATTTTCTAAAGTACTCGTACTCGTTAAAAGTCCCCCGATACCGGGGACCGATACCATGTTCTGAGAAATGGGTTAATCACAGGCGCCAAGTGCCCACCCCCAGGCTCCGGCTGCAGCTCAGAGCGGGGAAATGGGGAGACATGTCAGCCGTGTGGAAGAGTGATGCGCGGGTCAATGTATAAACAACCCGCACACTACCAACGTTTTCAACTACCCGCCCGCTACTCGGACCACAAAAAAAGTAAGAAAATGACCGTATTTTTTAAAAGTAGTACATGCTCATCGTAGCGTCATTGGGCCATAGACGTGTAACAACACAGCATCGCAAGAAGACGTAGCCTACATATAACAAAGCCAGCACTTTGGTCATCATCTTTCATTATTTCGGTAAATGTCTCCCACACTTTTACTCTTTCTATTTGTGTATTTGCGGAGCTTCCACTCCCCAGTCTTCACCTTTTCTCTTGCCGCCTCCATCTCTCTGCAGACTAGTGATCATGGCCGGTTCGTGAACGAATCGTTCTTTTGAACCGGTTCTTTTTAATGAACCGGTCGAACCAGTACACTAAATCGAACTGAATCGTTCGAAACAGTTCGCGTCTTGCGTCAGTGCTGATCCACAAGTTCCTAAAGTTACTCACTTTCAGACATGCCTGACAGTCCCTCCGAATCGAAATAAATCAATCCTGAATTATATTTTACTCCAGTAACTCCAACAGTTCACTGAACCGAGACATGTTGTTGCCACAGCTGAGAGAAGTGATGAGCACGAGCAGCTGATACTGCGCATCCGCGTACTACCAAACGCAGAGGTACAGCGGTTCTCGGATCACACCAGTACAGAACTGAGAACTGTTTAGACTGAGCTTGTGTGTCATCTTCGTGCCAGTTATTCAGCCAATAAAGTGTAGGCCTATATATTTCATAGAAAATTGTATCTAGTACTATATAAATACAAAGGTTTAATTGGCATCTTTTTCCAAACGACCTGACCGACCGCGACCCGAATATCATTAAAAATATTTTTGGATGACCCGTAACTGCGGGTAACCGCGGGTGACCGCAGGCACCCGCTCATTTTGGATCAACCCGTGCATCACTGGTGTGGAACTATTTCAAAGTGAATGGCTTTGGGTTAGGAGAATAAGTTTACTTGTAGTCGCCAAGTTACTTATAGTGTTGGAGAATTCTGCTTGTCCTATGTACATGTGAAAGAAGAGTGCTGTACATGTGAAAGAAGCATGCTGTGCATGTGAAAGAAGCGTGCATGTGATGTAATGCCAATCAGAAAAAACTAGGGTCTTAGGGCACATGAGGACAGGGACGAGAGAGTGGAAAAGTACCCAAAAAACACTTGTAGCACAGATGCAGGTGTCGGGAGGCACTGGGAGAGAAACAGATTGTATACAATGTAACAATGTGCCACTGGGAAAAGTGTACTGAAACAAGGAGCCCATTGTGTAAAAAGAAATGATACGCATGCGCAAGGAAGTTTGCCCCAATTAAAAATAAAATGATAATGCAGGTGTTTTTAATCTGGGAGGAGTAATAAGGAGGAGCAAGGAGAGAAAATATAACAATTTGAGCGCTAATTGGCTACCACAAGGTATAAGAAATGAGTGCAGACCATTGTAAGATCAGATGCCTGGCCGACATCTCACATTGTTGAACTGCTCAATAAAGTTATTCTTCTGAGACCTGTAACCTCGACTCTGAAAGATTTTCTCTGAGAGCTGAACCAGACTTTGATGCTTTGAGTTGGGACTGGAAATCTGCCACAACATAATAGTCAGTTGAATGTCTGTTGGGGGACCAAGTGTTATCAGATATTAAGCTGATCGTACTAATACTCTAATGACAGTTAGTTGACATGTAGTTGAAAAGTTACTTATAGTTAGTAAAGTGGACTATCGAAATAAAGTGTTACCCAAGTAATTTAATCAAGCACCATTTAAAACCCCATATATAAAAATATTTAAATCATGTTTTTTTAATTTTTTTTATTAAGTACTCGGTATCGGTATTGGCGAGTACTGAAATGCAGTACTCGTACTCGTTTTCCAAAAAAGTGGTATCGGTGCATCCCTAAACCGTAAATTCATATGGATTCATTTTAGAATCTCTTTATGAACGTCAAAGTGGTAGGTGCATAACCGTCAATGGAGTAACAGAAATCTTTCAAATGTTATTTAAAAAAAGATATCCTACTTTCTGTTCCGAAGAGTTTTGGAACGACATGAGGGTGAGTAAATGACGACAGAATTTCCATTCACTACACTGAAATATAATGTTAAGAACACATAGAGGGATGTAACATGAGCAATCATACAAGTTTAATAGCTTTGGTTGCTTCCCAAAAGGGATGCTTGACAACATAAGTAAGGAAATAATTGATAACATATGTCAGTGACAAATGGAGGAACAATAACTCAATAAATATGAGTCCATACCTGTGCCAGCAACCTGCCCATAGGCTGAGCGCTGAGGTAGACGAGAGGACACATTAGGTACAGCGGGAGAGTTTGCCTTCTTTTGTGGTGGAGGTTTGTACTGCAGACACAGGAACATGCAATGTGTATATCAACCCACTCATGCCAACTTGCTTATTGTATTAACAAAACTAGTTTGAGGCTGCTATTTAATAGCCTTACCATATATTGTTTATTTATCAGTGTTAGTAATATTCTTACAATTTATGCACATGTTAAGTAAAGAAGGTACGTATGCCATACAGTTGTGTATGCCAACCATTTTTGGAGAAATAAATTAGCTTCATTCAGATTCCTAAAAAATGACGTGGTTCAAGTAATGTTCACAGTGAGTGAAACCTTACCGGAATCCTGGCTGGGGGTTTGGCTTTCTCACTTCCAGGAACCTTGCTCTTATTGGAGATTCTGGATGCTTGCTCCTTACAGAATTTAATGTGGCGATCTGCTGCATTCTCACTAAAGCGTCGCTGGCAATAGGGACACTGGATGTAATCTGAAGAAGTCAATAGCTGTTAATGTTTTTACTCATATTACTGTAACTATTCCAAGTGTCAATAAAAAAAAATATATATATATATTTTACCTGGATCATAGGATGGAGGAGGGGGTGGAGGAAGAGGTCCACCATCTTTTATGACTTGATTTAAGCCTTTGGCGGCCCGAATGGTGGCAATGAATTCTTCATGCTTTCGGCGCCAATTTGACTGTTTCTTGGGTGGTTCAGGCTGTTTAAAAGCAAACATTTAGTTTAAAAGGATAATATAAATTTCGGGGGCCTTACAATGTAGTTATGTACCATTATTAAAAGTATGATACATATTTTCATGCTATGAAAACGATAATGGGTCAACAGTATACCATTCTATACTTTTTGAAAATTGAAGACAAAAAAAATATATATATATTGGCTCATATGCATCCACTAGTGACCATAAAAATAAAAATAATAATAATATCGTCTGATAACTGATATGGTACCTATACATTCATTGTGAATGAAAATTAAAATCAGTTAAGTGATACAGTTATTTCATTTTATTGAAACATCTGGAATCACAAAATTAATCATGGTTAATTATTTTAATCTACTGATATGCTTAGTTTCTGGTAATAAAGAAGTTTGAAATCAAGCAGCTCTGTCATCATTACAACATGTAACACCAAGTTTACAACAGTAACCATGACTCCTTGAGAAGGGGAAAGGTGCTACGCTAGTGTTGTCACAATACCAAAACTTTGACGTCGATACAATACCCAACTTAAATAACACGATACCGATACTATGGCAGAAACCTAAAACAGGAAAAGTAAATAAATAGACAGAATGTCTATAGGGAAAGTTTGCTCTAGTCCCAGTTGAACCGAAGCCCCAACAGGCTGAGGTGCCCGAAGGATAGGATTTTGTACTGATACGCCGGACCCTCAAAAGCAAAGCGCAGAAAGGGCTGTGTCCAAGAAGAATCGAGACGTGAAAGTTTGCATCCTTCAGGTCTTGTTCTCCTGAGAGAACATGAACCACCCATGAACGCAGCTTCAGCATGCTTAAGCCCAGACATGCGAGAGCTTTTTTAGGAAAAATTTGCTCTCTCTAGAGCTGAAGCGCACAGGGGGATGTCCATGGCCAACAGCGGGGAAATAGTGCAATCCACTGAGGCACTCAACTGAACTGCCACGCTCAAGAGTTTTTTTTTTTCTTTTGAGTGATAAGAGTGATTTTGCTGTAGCACGCCATGACACAAACACGAAGGAGATGGTTTTTCCAAAAAGAACACTCAAAACTTGTCACTTCTTTAGAAGTAAGACTGCTGGAACAGGTCATGAATCAGCTCGGCTCCAAAGCGAAATGTAAAGATGCTTTGCCCCTGCTGCTCATTATACTTGCACTGCGTGGTTGACCGAGTAATTTTCAGGCCCGTTGAGAACTCCATTTTGGAAATCTACAAAACTAATATTTAAGAAATTGCAGGGGCTGCCTCCACTTGAGAATTAGATTGGCCCATTATTAAAGGAGTTGCTCACTTTTAAAAAAAAACTTTTGCTGATAATTTACTCATCGCCATGTCATCCAAGATGTCCATGTCTTTCTTTCTTCAGTCGAAAAGAAATTACGTTTTTTTATGAAAACATTCCAGCATTTTTCTCCATATAATGGACTTCAGTGGGAACCAGACGGTTCAAGTTCCAAAAGAAACTTTAAGTACAAACTGCAAACTTGTTCAAGGGGCTTTAAACGATTCCAGACGATGAATAAGGGTCTTATCAAGCGAAACGATCGCTCGTTTTATAAATAAATAACAAAGTTTAAGTTTTATAAGCTCAAACGCTCGCCTTGCTCTGTTCTGTAACGCACTCCTGTTCGAACTCGTTCATCAAAACGAACAAATCTTTTTCCGAGTCATTTGATTCATTCGGCGAAAGAAACAGACGAATTGATTCGGAAAAAGGTTTGTTCATTTTGTTGAACGAGTTCGAACAGGAGAGTCACGAACGTGCACCACAGAACAGAGCAAGGTGAGCGTTTGATCTTATAAAACTTAAACTTTGTTATTTATTTATTTTTTTTTAAATGAGCGATCTTTTCCCTTGATAAGACCCTTATTTATTGTCTGGAATCGTTTAAAGCCCTTTGAACAGTTTGCAGTTTGTACTGAAAGTTTCTTTTGGAACTTGAACCGTCTGGTTCCCACTGAAGTCCATTATATGGAGAAAAATCCTGGAACTTTTTCATTTTCGACTGAAGAAAGAAAGACATGGACATCTTGGATGACATGGGGGTGAGTAAATTATCAGCAAAAGTGTTTTGAAAAGTGAACTACTCCTTTAAGGTAGCAAATGTTAAACACAAAAGCCTTAATATCAGAAATGACATGTTGAGACACAAAATTCAGTTATATGAGGAAAAAAAAAATAAACAAAGTCAAACATTCAACTTACTTTATCAGACTTAGAGCTGCTGGAAGAACTTTGTAACTGAAACATAATCAAAAGGGGTTTCAGAAAATTTTAGAACATTGGGGTAGATATGTGGGTAGCCGTGGAGGAAAAGTTTCTGAGCAGAGGCTCTTTGAGAGGCCAAGGTATTCTTCACTTTTGATATTCTTGCTTGAGGCCAAACCAGAGTTTGACTGTTCCAAGGCATGTCCACTTAATATTTCAAACAAGTAAGCTGAGAAACAACGGCCCCGTTTACACTGCCCAAACAAACATGAGGCTATGGGTGAATACATACATGACATTTCATTAGACCAGTGTTTCCAATACTGCTCCTGAAGGACCCTGAACACTGCACGTTTTCTTTGGCTCCGTAATCAAACACAGCTCATTATCACATATATCCCCATAGACATAATATAGATCTAGACGCCCTATTGGCCGCTGGGTGCAAGAAATGTGACAGCCATCTTTAGCCAGTCATACTCCTAATTACGTTGCATAGCAGCAGTTAAGATGCTAGAACACTGTGCAGCATATTCCTGCTCGAATCAGCGGACCATCACAAATAGAGCTCGGGGGGATTACTTTTCACAAATCACCGTACTATTGGTTGTATTTTGTTTATTTCCTGTATCATAGCTACATGTATGACCTTTGCAGCAAAAAAACCCATGAAAATCAGTTCGGTATTGAGTGATAAGATTAATTAAATGCACCTGCCAATCAGATTACACTGAGTGGAGCGTGTGACCGGTCTCCAGTAGGCAGCGGTTGATGGGGCAGCTACTCTCCATCATGTGATAATGAGCTGATGAGTTGAATCATGTGTGTTTGAATAGGGAGACAAAGAAAACGTGCAGTTTTGGGGGTCCTTCAGGATCAAAGTGAATTTCACAAAAAAAAAAGAAGTTCAAAATTATGTCCTCCAAGATTTTTTTTTTATTATAGAATTTTAGATTTCTTTAGAAGACTTTAGATTTTTAGGTTGCTCTTTGTTTTGAATTAATACACTGTAAACCTTGATGTATTTTGAGTCATAACAAATCATACATTTTTCTTAATATAATATAGAAAAATACCTTGAAAGTGCTGCAAGTCATTTTGGATAAAAGCATATGCCCAAAAAGCATCAAAATATTTCCTCCTGCCCTGCCGATTATATCTTGCTCTGTCTAAATGCGCTTAAATCCACAATAAGGACGCTTACTATCACATATTACACATGAACACTTTAATAAGCCAATAGAATGCAGGTTTACGTGTTACATGCCAGGCAAAATTGGGGTAAAACAGCTTAAATAGTTTACAACCACATGCATTGTCAGCTAACTAAGCATAATCGGGTTAAGAATGTGCATCTAAATGCACTCATTGTCAATGACTGTCAATGGTTCACTACCATATCAAAATCATTATACCAGACCAACCAAGTTGAGACACTCATCGGATGTTAGTGTGTAGGAGCAGTGTAAACTAGCCTTACAAAATACATTGTCAGATATTATTAACTAGTGCTGGAAACTGCAATAAAATCCAGTAAAATGTATAGATTCTTTGCCTTTTTTCTTATGTTGTAATAATACTAAGATGGTAACAAATGACACTTTTGCCACTGCAGACGGATTTTATGGTGACAGCAACTACACTGTTTCTGAATGTGCATCATTATCAACTATATACTGCGTGTAATCACTCACGGTTCACATCTCATCATCTGTGAACATGGTGTGGTTGTTTCCTCACCTTTGGTTTTATGGGTTTGACTGTTGAAATATCGGTCCCCTCTGCCCTTTGCCTGCTGGAGTCAAACACCTTCCTTCTTTTTGCCACTGCCTTCTGGCAGATCGGCACATGTTTTTTCTACAATAGATAATAAGGTGGGCGGTTATGAAATGACTGTGACAGCACTGCGTTGACAGGGTAATAATTACAGGATTTGTGTCTACATAGTGACCTGTGAGAAATACATGCCTTGTTGCTAATCTTGATCTAGCAACTGCTATATTGATATAGCAACTTCTTAATATAGCCTCAAATGAACCCTCAAATTTTGTGTAGGTGCAACAGGGAAAAATCACTCACTGTGGGACAACATATTGAGTATCATGGTAAAGCAATACTTTTTGGTTCAAGAGTGTCGCTGTGGCACCAAGGATCACTTAATTTCTTGATATTTTAATGGTTTTATTTTGGCCCATCTACATTGATCTGATGACGATACTATGTTAAAATTGCTTAACACTGGGATGAAAAATAGATTTTTTCTGACCTACATATGTGCAATTTAAGACTTTTGAAGGCCAAAAAAGGATAATAAATAACTTTAAAACCATGTCAGTGGGCATTGGATTATTTTGTCAATAAATGCTCTCTCCTCAAACATACAGCTTTCTTTTTCTCTCAGTGTCCTTATCCTGCCCTATTTCTTCTCGTCCTAAAGCTGAACTTTGACTAATAGTCTTTTCGTTTTCATCTGTGTCCGTGAAGAAATTAAACAGGCTTAACTGATAATTATAGATTTTGTGAATCATTATCTTAAACAAGTTAATTTACTCAAAGCTACCAGGTCAGTATTGCCACCTTATACCAGCTTTGGAATTAGAAAAGTAAAACAGATTATATCATGTAGGGATTTTTTTTTTTTTTTTATGTTTGCAAGCACATTTCAATGGCAAAATAATTTACAGCAACCATCAGCTGTCAATTCATCATCTATAAAAACATACTTACAATCACCCTCGAAAAAAAACTTCTTCCACATATTTTGCAGGGCACCAGGTCTTCAGAAACAGGAGGAGATTCTGAAGACAAACAGAAAATATAAATAGAAACAGATCATCATAAGACAGAAACAACAAACACAAAATGATAAGGATCAAAGAGTAGTTCAGTCTGTTTGGGTGTCTATGCAGCCAGTTTACTCAAATGAGAACAGATCAAGCAGTAGTATGTGAAAATAGGTCAATCCTGTCAGTCTGAAGAATGTCAGTTTGTAGGGAGAAAGAAAAAGGGGATCCAGAATGGTATGTAAAGCATTTGACCTTGTTTTCGCTTATGTTTAAACAGAACTAACGTTACACCAGAACAAATTAGTGACATGGAATCAAGCTTGCTGAGTCAAATGTCACAACAAAAACACTTCTCTCTCTCTCTCTCATATATATATATATATATATATATATATACACACGTGTGTGTGTGTGTTTGGATGTGTATGTACATAGCCCCTAAAATAACAGTTAAACGTCATTATTTTCCAACAAAACGTCATTCTCTTCCGTGGTGATAACCTCAAACAACAGCGCTGAATAAACCAAAGCTGTGCTCCATTATACAAACACACACACTGAGTGTTAGAGGTTAGATGCACAATATTCAATATATTTTCATATGCATCTTTAGCTTATTTAAAGCCTTACCTTCTATTTCCTCCATCTTTCCTGCTCGGTAAGACACTAAAGACGATGCTGTAGCAAGTTGGCTCTTCTAGGTTACCGGCCTCCTGTCCACATGCTAGTATCCTTGTTTTTGATTGGTGTTTTCCAGTTTCCCCGTTTCCCTGCAGAAATAAACGCTGTGCAGTACCCGCATCTGGCCGATAGATGGAACGTGGGAGGCGACCAGGCTGTGGATTATAATCGTCCACTAACATTTTATATCATTTACGACTTTTTCGAAAAATATTTTCTAAAGCTATAATTACTTTAGCATGTTGTTGTTGTTTTTTTTATATAGGGCCCAAGTTATTTTTCTACATCTTATATCTACTGCTGGCAATGTCCAGAGTCCAGACTAAAACTAGAATTTCCAATCAAGCCATTCAATTGAGTCAATTGCAATTGAGATGTCATATTGCACCACATTCCTCGGTTTTTAAACTCTGTAATCTTATTCACAAAGTCCTGGAAAGCAACACATCAACATGTCTGGACGAAATATCCAACAATAGAGCCCTTGACATAGCAGATGTGCTTGGATTCAAACCAAACTAGTATTTAAAAGGGCTCTATTGTTCGACATTACTATGTGGGATAGGAAATGCATGTGAAACATCAGCTGCACTGTCTAGAATTCGTCGCGCTGTGTTAAATAGCCTTTTGATTTTTTTTTTTACCCTTTAATGTAGGCAACATTAAAATCTTTTACAAAAAAGTAAACAAATCTTTCTCGTTAACTTCCATAACTTATACGTATTTTTTACCCTTAAATGTACATTTAAAAAAAAAGTTAACAAATATTTCTCTTTCACTTCTAAATAGGCTACGTCTTGATTGCGTGAATTATTTTGACCGCGTGACCAATAGTGAACCAGAATGAGTGAATCAGGCATGACATGTAAAGCAATTAGTTTCAACCTATGGTTTCAACAAGGAGAATGCAAAAGAATGTAAAAATTGCCTACAGTATTAGCCTACCCGTTTAAAAGTGAACAAGTCTTATAAAACACGACTCACTTTCGCCACCTATTGGAGAGTACGATGAAACCCAAAATAAAGTGTCATGCAAATCAGTGAACAGGTTCGAAAGATTCGAATCACTGAGATGAATCAAACTCCTCACCACTACTCAGCATAAGCAGATATGATGGTCTTTGGATAATCCTCGCATATAATCAGCACTCAGGAACGCGCATACGTCATCCCTTTCTTCTCATGCAGACTCATGAACAGAGGCAGCAGCACCTCTGACAGCACCGTCGCATCCCACTGAAGTATTATCAAGAGCGACAAAACTGCACAGCCTTGACAAGAAGAAAATTAAACGTCTAGCCTACAACAGGTACGATTTGCGGATTCGCTCGACTTTATACGTCTTCTTAACCGCATCCTATGATAGATTTAGTCGCGCAGACGTTAGCATCTGTGCTGTAGCCTGTCAGATTTATATAACAGGTGCATTCATAAGCTCAAACGCAGTATGTTGTGCTGTAAATGAAATAATTGCTCCACTGAGATTTGCACTTGTAGCTCTTATTTTGAATATGCCATGTTGATACCATGTTGACGTTATTGTCTTGCACGTGACATGCCAAGGACGAGACGAGTTTCCTCACAAACGTTTATATTTCTGTATTTTCATCATTTTTAACGTGACATCATATAAACTAGTGCATTTTACGCTCTAATAATACATCTGTCAAATTGTCACGAATAGATTGTGTGTTCGTTTAAACAGTGTAAGAACAGAATAGCCTATCATATAACATTACATTTAGCCTGATATGTGTTTATTTTCAAGTCTGGTTTCAATTGATAAGGTAATTTATATTCTGAGTTTAGGGCATTGAAGGGTATAGTTATGAATGAAGCCATTTTTAAGATTATCTCACCCTTATTATGCTGCACATTGTAACTCATTAGAGCTGTTATCATTTATTAATATACTAGGCCTACTGTATGTAGTTGGTTCATTTAAAAAAGTGCTTGTTGGAGGACAATTGCATTGATTTGTGGCCTTTGTGGTACTGATTCCTGAGACATGGGAATAACAGGATAACAGTAAGTTTACAAATTAATCCAAAATGTAGAATGTAAATGACTACTTCATTTGATTCTAGATATTAGTATTAATTAGAAACATTGCATTATCACTCAGGTGTACGACCTGTTCTCTGATCATCCCTCAATACTTCAATTATAATGAGTGGGTCTTTAAAGTGAAATGTAAAGAAATGCATATTTTACCGTCAGATATTTTTGAAACCATTTATACAGTTGAAATTAATTTCTGTGTTCATCCTCAATAATTTATCTTGAACACTAATCAAGTTAATTCCTTGGTACATAAACTTTTAAGTTTTGCAAGCTGTTCTATCCCAGGACTCAAGCATCAGTGGTTATGTTTTGTCCAAACTGTTGCCCAAACTTTTTCAGAGGGTGGGTTGGTGGATTGCACAGAGGTCTCTGAGGCATAGTCAGGGAAGTGTGTGATATCTCTTCTGCATGGTTGTCAATGTTGCCTTGAGGAACTGCTCACTCAAGTCCATATAGATTTTTTAGACTTAGACCTGAACTCTTGTGCCAAGTGAGCTTTAAATTACATTTCTTTCCCATTAATACATAGACAATTACTTTGGTGTTAATGGACAAGACTCTTTTTTATAGATATGATACTATTGATCTGTGTGGTATTATTTTCATGTTATCACTGTGAAGCTGCTTTGATACAAACTCTATTGTAAAAAGCTATATAAATAAAGGTGACTATGGTATATTAAGTGCAATGGTGATAAAAAAATAGCCTATGTGCACCCTTAATGTGCTCCTATTATGCTATTTTAAAGTGTCCTAGTTTTTGTTTTAGATGATTCTTACAGTAGAAAAATAAACACCTTCATTTTCTCAATATACATGGCAGCATTACATTTTTTTCTTACAGTGTCTGAAATGGTTGGATTAAAGGATTCTCTAAAACCCTCCTTTCTGAGAGCCTACTCTGCTCTGATTAGTCAGATGGCACAGTCTGTTTTGATTGGTCTACCGCTTATGGTGTTGGAGACTAAACACCCATTACAATATCAGAATTTCAGCTCTGGAAACTTCTTCAGCACTTGTATGTGGTGAAATGAACAGTAACTATGGCGGTTTTACCATTTCAATTCGAGCCACTTCCAATTCAGTCCTCATTCTTTGTAAGCGCATGTAAAGTGGATTTGCTTTCGCACCACAGAAAACAGCGTCTACATTGACAACAAGAAACAAACTCTTCTAGGCCTCAGCTACAACTACATCCGTCAAAGTGGGCATTGTTCGCAGGCAGCCTATATGAAGAGCAGGCATAGAACATTATTTGGTGCAAACCTATTTTTGTGGAGGAATTAAGATTTTAACTTGTTCCAGGCATTTCAGAATCAGTTGTTTCTTTTGGGAGACAATAACTCCATTTATTAAGACCTTTTCACAAACAGCTATATTACACACTACATGAAAGGTATAATATCTGAAAAAAGCATTATAGGGGCACCATTTTCTGTATTTATGCATAATAATACTCATATAGTTGTATTATTATTTCACTCAGCAACCAGAACCTGGAGAATCAAAAAGTCAATATTTTAGTTTGAGAAATGGAGTATGTGAAATCCTTTAATACCGTGAAACAGCCCTTTAATGATGACCTCATGCGTGTTACACCACACACTCACAGTTGCACCATTTTGAAGGCAACAGCTGAGAATGACTGTACTAAGATGATAGCATGTGCTAAATATAACTCTGAGCTCAAGGAAGACTGTCCTTGCATCTCATGAGTGATATTTAGTTCAATAAAAATTCGAGATAATCTCGCAGATTTGTGCCACGTCTGTTTTGACGTGTTTGAGGGATCAGAACATTAAAATATTTTATGGGACTCCCTCCCCCCAACCCACACAATATTTAGAGGAGTCTCAGATAAGAAATCCAGAAGGACAATTTAGACATGCATGAGATCACAAATGTGTTACAGAATAAACTGTCCCTTATCCAAGCTTATGTTCTTATCTAGGCCAGATTATGGCTCCTTACAGTCTTTACATTGTTGTTTGGGATTCCTAATAGTTATAACAGTTTTTGTTCAAACACTGATTAGGCCTAAAAAAAAAAAAAGTTTGGTTCCGGTTGGTTGTCAGTTGAGGTCATGGGTCGGTAGGGAATTTTTTTTTTTTTTTTTTTTTTTTTTTTTTTTTTTCAGTGGCAGCAAGGGATGGGTAGGAAATTATTCAGGGCTCGACATTAAAGGGATAGTCAAACCTAAAAATATCAAAATTTAAACTACTGTGGAAACAAAGACACCTACATCTTGGATGCCCTTGAGTTAAGCTAAAACATATCAAAAATTAATTTCAAAGTGAACTATCCCCTTAAGCCTTTTCACGTGCTTGTCCTCCAGACAAGTAAGTAAATCTGTCAATCACTTGTCCGAGTAAAAAAGTTGCTTGTCCAGATTTTTAAAATGTATTTATTTTTTATTCTGAAGCAATATTCTCATCAGTGTTCAATCAGCTTTGATATTTAAAAAGGCAAAATGTAATATCTGCACCTTTAAGGGCTTCCCCTCCACCAATATTATTAAATGCCCTATAGTGTCTTATTATTCTAAATAATTGAATTTATTGATCAAATTTAGGAATTTAAAATGAAAGATGAAGCATACTGTTACCCTAGGTAGGGCTGATGAAATTAAATCATTTACACTGAAAAATTACAATTTCATAAAATAATGTTATGAAATTGATTTAAATGTGCAAATAAGAAATATTGGAAAGAATTATACTAGGCTACTTATAAACATAACACTAAACTGCCAATAGGTGGCGGCAGGCGGCCGTATAAATGAGTGAGTTATTGATTCATTAATTCAAACGATTCGTTCAAACGGTTGATTCATTCAAGAATGAGACAGATGTTGATGTTTATGAATGGGTCATTGAATCCTTGACTCAACCGATTCGTTCAAAATGCTGAATCATTCAGTAATGAAAACAGGATGAGTTCCTGTGAGATGCGTCGTGGTTCTGCTGTGACTTTTCTTTGGAACTATTTTCGCTGCTGAAATGGAACAAAAACACTCAATATTGCTTATAAACAGTAAGTGACTTAATCTTAACTGTTTATTGAACTGTTGTAGGAAATCAATGTCACTTTTTCAATCGTGATGGTATTCAGGAAAAATAATTGAGGCTGCTTAGTGCTTAACATATGTTAAAATATAAAAACTCCACATTTAGATTTTTTATAGGCAGAGTATGTTAACTGTGTGTGTGCTCCGCTCATGTGTGTAGATTTCTCTGCGCGAGCGTCAACAGCGCAACCTTACCATCAGTAATGCAGTAACGTTAGCTGCTGCCTGCTACATTTATTATCCACAATCGATCGCAACTTGCAATAAATGTAATAAAATCAGAATCATTCTCTCGGTTAAGTGATTCCCTAGTTATTTTTTGTTTGTTATTGATGTTCTAATCAGGCTACTTATCCGTTGGGGCGAGTAAAATTCTCTTTTACTTGTCCTTCAAAAATCAATTTGTCCCGGAAAAGCGGACAAGTTAGACGGGCTCTAGAGATACGAACCGCGGCAGGTTAGAGTGTTTTGGATTGCATAAAATAATGAAAGAAACGAACAAATACATGGCGAAAAAAATGTGCTAGACAGCAGAAGATGGGATTGGGATCATGATTGGATCATGATAGGATGATTTTTTTAATAAAACTAGGCGGATGGAGGTATTATGTGGTGTGTGCATGCCTATGAATGCATGTATTTGTATGTGTGCGAATATGAATAAAAATATCCTAAATTACAAAAAAAGACTTGTATAATATGTGTTATAGTTCAGTTTGACTAACGATATCTGCCTCGTTTGTTAACAGATTGCTAGAGGACAAGATGCATCTTACATCGCGTGCTATAAAAAGACGGAGCTGTACAAAAACGTAAATTAATAGTTCGCCTCAGAGTTTTTTATTTGTGTATTTATTTAATTTGTATTATTTCTTCCCCAAGCTCATAAAATAATTTTGGGTCGCACATAAATTGACAGGGTCGGTCGGAAACCGGAAACAAACAATTTTTTTTTTTACGCCTTAGTATTTAAATCAGTTTAAAATGTGTGAATCTAAGGAGTAACATTTTCCTTTTTTTTTTTTTTTTTAATTTTTCAGTCTCTTATGCTCAGCAAGGGTGTATTTATTTCATCAAAATACAGTAAAAACAGATATATTGTAAGATATTATTACAATATTTTTTTTCTATCTGATCATATTTTAGAATGTAATGTATTCCTGTAATGGCAAAGCTAATTATTAGTGTCACATAATCCTTCAGAAATCATTATAATATGCTGATTTGGTGCTCAGGAAACATTTGTGCTGCTTAATATTTTTGTGGAAGCCATGATTCATTTTTTTCCAGGATTCTTTGATGAATAGAAAGTTCAAAAGAACTGCATTTATTAGAAAATGTTAAAGTTATAACGGCTACTTTTGATCAATTTAATCCTGAATAATAGATTTAAGTTCTTTAAAAAAAAAACTTTTAAATGAATAGTGTACATTTTAGCTGTGTAATTTCTAGATTGTTGCATATTTTCTTTTTGAATTAATTACAAACATCCAACAAATAAATCTTTTAAACATTTAAAAACAAATAAAATATTAACAATTATATATAAATTATTAAACATTTATTTATACGTTTCACAATTTACACTTATTATACGTTTAATTTTATGAAGTGCTGTGAGAAAAGGCTATAAATCTCCACCTCCAACATCCTCACTCGCAATATAGCCTATGTGACGAAATGATGCGAAGACATGCTCAAATCTCCCGCGGAAAACTTTATTACAAGCTTACCGCTTTGAATCGAGCTACAGCAAGCAGATAGTTTTGAACACTGGCTGGTTATGTATTTTCTCAAATATGTATTTTGGATCATTTTCAACCCAAGAAAAGCTACAGACTAGAGCCCGACCGATAAAATCCGATATTTCGGCCGATATTTTTGTATTTATTTATAAGGAACGCGCAACAAAACATTAACAGATTTCCCTAACATTAGTTATTCGTATTTTTTTTTATGAGTTTTAACTAAAATAATATGATAATGCATTTTAAAAAAATTATTTCTTTTATTGTCACAACAGAACAGACTGATGATAGTGGCATTAGCTAGCTTTGTGGTTAGCTAGTCTATGATGAGCCATAATTTAGCAATGGATTACGTCATACTGCAAATTGTAAAACATACATTTTCAATACAACAATGAGAGATGATATGTCTCATTGCTATAAATGTCACGCGTTATTAAAGAAATACTTCAGTTACATTGTCAAAAGTTAAAAGGACAGTCAGTAAACTACACTGTAACAACGTAACGTTACTATTACTAGCTAATTCCGCTTCATTCTCGGTTTATTTAACAGCACCAAAACTGGACTTGATAGTCACAAATTTTGTCATGCTTATTTGAGTTAAGAGAACGGATGGAGATGTTCTTTTAATTGTTATTCAAGCAATGTATGTCTCGTGACCAACTCAACGTGGACAGACTATACAACTCCAACACTCATGACATGGTTCAAGTGTGTTTCGTCTGTTTTTATTTTGTTTTTCATATATTCATTTATCGGCCATTATAACTGCCGATACCGATAGTTTGGAAAATGCCTAATATCGGCCGATAATATCGGCCTGCCGATATATCGGTCTGGCTCTGCTACAAACCTTTGTGCAGCTTTAAACCTTTAGGTAATGTTGATATAGAAATTAACTAATATAAATTAACTAATATAAGCGCTGTCACTATACACCTAGGATGGCTTGAGGGTGAGTAAATTATGGGATAACTCAAGTGACTTATTTCTTAAAAGTCACTTGAGTTTTTTCTTAATTACTTGCAAGGCATCTGCATGCCACAGCAGATCTGTGTTTGACCAAATAAAACCATCTCTGTCTGTCACAGGCACTGCTATGTTGATATGAATTAGATATGACTGATGTCGAGGTGACATATGAAGACTTCATCGCCTCTGGAAGGACCGGCAGACGCAATGCTGTGCACGAAATACTGGGAACCTCCGGCGGGCTGGATGCTAGTGGACTCTCCCAAACTCTGTCTGAGCTCAATATCAGCAAAGCAGGTGAGTAAAGTCCCCATAACCCATCACGGCTCCTTCAGCAAGAACATGGAGTGTCGTCAAAACACTGCAGGAATGTAATATGGCACGAGAGGCAGGCTGGCCATGAATAATGTATCAGACAAACCTGCTTTGGGCAAACTAGAGAGTTTAGACAGCCTGTTGGTGGCTTCCCAGACCAGTTTTTAGCTCAAGACAAACATGGATGTGCTTTATCAAATATAGGCCTGTTAGCTGAGGGCATCCTTAAGAAAAAGCATTGCAGCAACTGTTAAACATCCTGCCTTGCCGTAGGGTGTCGAGTATCTGCTCTTGTTGGGCAACAGCTCCCTAGTCTTCATTAAAACCATCTGTTTTTTGGTTCTGTTCTTGCTTTCACTAACAAAACAATTTTTTTTTCACTCTCAAGAGTCAGGGAATGATGGAGAGAGGAGCCAGAGCTTTTCAGACTCCGAACCGAAGCAGGAAGAAGACAAAGGGGAAGCAACATAACAGACTTCAGTGAGAGAATCAGTCAGATACCCCCTCTAGTGGCTGATTTTTATAAGGATGGAGGGGTTGACACTGAAAATAGTGCAGCATCCCTCTCTCTGAAGGATCCGGATGGAGGAGACTTTGCTTTGAGGAAGCTACTGTGAAAGGATGGGCCTTATGAATCATAGCGCTGCTGTTGTACTACAGTGATCACTACTTTAGCTGATGTAGGTATGACTTTTACTTCGATATTCGCTCTAGTTGGTAGGTACCTAGAGTGACTGGTGGGATTTGAGTCAGAAGTATTCACATCAGAATGATGAAAACACTCGGGAGATGAACAAAACCCACTAAACTTGTGATTTTCAATTCACCAAATAACTGCCAGTGTAGTGCAGCTATTACGCATTTTTATAGGTGTAGTAGTGTTGTCATAGTAATATCAGATTTTGATATTAAATTGTGCTTTGTCTTATCTTAAACTGATATTTTCAGTTAATGTTTTCACTAGGTACACATAATATAAGTGCTGCACTTTTTGTAAACATTCACTGAATTCTTATAAACTGTCTATTATGGTCTTGCATGACACTGCCGCTGACAGAGTCGGTATGTATAACTGTTCACATCCCACAAATTTGTGAACCCATCATTTTCAGTGTTGCGATGATAATTTGTTTGTTTCATGATGAAAATTCTTATTATGTTGTGAAATCTGGCTCGATTTGAAGTCTTAATTTCACTGCCTATTTATTAATCCATTTGAAAATGTGTTCAATTGAGCTTGCCTTACCAAACCTCAGCCCATATTTTGTCTTCCAGCTCTATGTCCTAAATTTTGCATAAATATATTTGATATTTTCATCTTTGGGTATATACACATTTGAATAAATTCAAGAAATCTTCGGGAAAATGGTGATATATTTTTTAATTATTTCTGCATATATTTATTTATAATGCATTTACCAATGTTTCGTGAATCAATGATTATTATAAGTGCTCTGTACTAACTTAGGCACTGATTAAGACAGTGATACAGATATTCCACTGGATGGCACTGTTCACTCACTAATCTATTTTATTCTAAATGCAGCTCCATAATGAGTGATTGAAGCCAGTGAACATCATCCATTTTGGAGTTTTATATTCTTTTCATATGTCAGTTATATGTTATTATATATATATTTAGGTCACGAACCATTTTGGCTACTTTTTCTCCTTAAGGGATAGTTCACCCAAAAATACAAATTTACTCACCCTCATGTTGTTGTTCTAAACCTGTGGCATATGATGAAGGAAGGAACCATATGTTGGTTTTCCCACTTGCTATTCATTTCAAAATATCTTTTGTGTTCAACAGAACAAAGAAACGCGTATAGGTTTAGAACAACTTGAGGGTGAATAAACAATGACAGAATTTTAATGTTTGGGTGTACTATCCCTTTAAAATATGGCAATATTTAGCAATGCAATTCGCATCATTAAAATTAATTTTATTAATACACAAATAACTGGAAGAAATGAATTGCAGGTGGGACAATCTTTAGGAAGACAACCTTTCCTTCCTTCATTTGCCGTGCCATTTCTCAGTAATATTTTGAGACCTCGAACCCTTTGGCAGAGCCGCTGACCTTTTCTGTCTTTTAAGTGGCAGAGCTGCACATTAATCATTAATCAGCTTACAGCACACTGGAGTTCTCAGCCAATTTTCACAACCAATGAATCCATGTGGCTTTTCTGAGAGATCAGTTCTTTAATTGTGACCCCAGTGCATGAGTCATAAGAGACGTACGGTAGTTTAAAGGCAGATAGTACAACAGCCTTAAAACTTTGATCACACACTCCAGTTGTAATTCCAAATCTGTCAAGCGTGTACGTCCACTCAATCACACTCCATAGAGGTGGCATCTGGTGCCCCCTGTAGTTGGTGTTTGATTGGAAACCAAACAGCAAAGGTGAATTTGTGGATGTAATCATGGGCCTGTGTGTTGGGGGTAACGTATTACAAATAATGCGAGTTACATAATAAGAAATTAGCATTGCTTTTAAATTTACAATTAAATAGTTACTTTTTCCAAATAAGTAATGCATATTCTTTTCATGTGGAGAGAAATCATGAGTAAGATGTGGCGTTAATACATACAGTATTCTCTAACCAGACATAAAGGAAGACTGCAATGTTGGTCTAAAACATGATGTTAACCCCTTAAAAATGAATTATGAAGATCTTTTCCATGCAGTTACAATTGGAGCTGGACTCATGAACTTGCACATCCTCTAACAAATGAGCTGTTTACATTTTGATATATTGGAACAAAACTCTAAATGTTAGACTTGGACTGTGGTTTTGCTCTGGAGTGCAGAGTGAAAATTCAAATCTATGCAGAGCTATTATTCAGATGGAAGGTGTCTGTATGTGTGGGCAGGGCTGAATGGCTCAAGGGAGTGAAATTGAATCTGTGGTCTTGGAGCTCTGATACTCTTAGTCTGCTACCTCTGACAGTGATGGATTTTGTCCTGATGGGAGTGTGTCATACCATCATTTTTAATCTCCCTCTTTCTTTTTCGCACACACACACACACACGCATTCACATACAAATTACCTTAATCTGTGAAAACCTAACTACAAACCACAATTAACTTTTAACAATGTATAGTTCAACCAAACATGAACATTCTGTCATCATTTACTTAACTGTTAAAAAAAAAAATCTGTATGACATTCTGTGTGAAGCATAAAAGTTGAATTTTTACAAATTTCCTGCTGCTTTTTTTTTCCACACAAAATAATAAAAATGAATGGGGACTGGGGCTGTCAGGCACCAAAAATACCACAAAAAAGGTCTTTTCAGGTTATACAAAAACATTGTCCAAAGAACAGATTGAGACTTAAAATTGTATTTGCTAAAATCTCTGAGCCGCAGCTCTTAAATCAAATGTGGCTCCATTGACATCAATAACTTCTGGTCATATGATTCACGAGAGCCAATGATGTTTGGCATCACTGACAGCAAAAATATATTGGCTGTGTCCGAAATTTTGGAGCTGCAGTCCACAGTTTTTCCTCTTTGTCGCCATCTCTGTTCGAAATCTGCAATTGCAGTCATTCGCGGAATTATCAACTTTACGCGAGCAACTTTAGTTCGACACGGCACAGCGTGGATGAACACAATGTTTGAGGAGACTGTGCAGCTGTCAATCGCCGCGTCGGTGTTGATATTGGCGATATCATTTTCTAATGGCATTCAGAATCACAGATTATTCTTTTTGAAAGTATGCCCAACATAACTTTTGTTCTGGTTCTGACATTGCAGTAAATCGCGCTGATTAAATCTAAAAATCGCTTATCATCATGCAAATAATACTTTGTTCTCAAATTGTTAATGTTAATAACCTCAGCATTGCGTGACTACATGTAATGTCCTTCCGATATTTACCATTGCTTTCGTTTTGTTTTCGTGCTGCGGTTATCAGTCCGCCATTGTAGCAGTGCTTCGCCTTCTGAGAATATAGTTCCCAATATTTATACGGTAAAAAGATGGCTGTGTCTCATATGACCTTGTTATTTGTACACTCTGTGACTATGCAAATCACAAAATGCAAATAGGAAAATGTTTGCGTTATTTTGTCACTTAGGATTAGTATGCTACTGCAACCATTTACATCCAGTCTTTGTGCTAAGCTAGGCTAGCGGTGGGTGCATCAGACAGAGTTACAGCACGCACGGAGATGAAAAAGGTATGTATGGAGTTATCTAACTGTTGGGGATACTGTTGGAGTGTTCCATTAATTTAAATTAAATTAAATTCCATAAATTAAAGTGTATTGGGTGATATTTCAGTCACATGACTTTCATCTGGCTTACTTGACTGTAATTATAACTAATAACAATAAATCAATGAACCTGACAAATAATAGATTGTATAAAACAAAAGCTTTTAAAGGGATAGTTCACTTTGAAATGAATTTTTGATATGTTTTAGCTTACCTCAAGGGCATCCAAGATGTAGGTGTCTTTGTTTCCACAGTATTTTCAATTTTGACATTTTTCGGTCAAACCGTTGTTGTCTGTCAGTCATATAATGCAGGTTTAGGGGGTCCACCTCAAAGAGCATGCACAGAGAAGTCAAAATTAAACATGATTCAATGAATCGTGAATGTAAGTACACACTGATGGCCTAAGACATGAAACGAGCAGTTTGTGTGAGAAAACGGAAACGTTTTCTCACATAAACCGCTTGTTTCGTGTCTTAGTGTACTTACATTCACGAGTAAATTCACGAAAAATTCACACCAAATTTAGTCACAGAGCATTCATCATTGATCTTAAAATGAAATAATTATTTAATGATCATTATTTGTAGTGATTCATTCCTTTAAGATAAATAATTAGTTCAACTATAATTTTGGTGTTAATAATTCCAATTAACAGTCTTAATGAAGAGAGCTAGAAGCATTTACTATAATCACAAAAACACATCACCTTCAAATAAAAGTAGCCTAAATATATTAATTTGCTGCCTTATTATGAATTAATTCCTTGAAAAACTTGGAAGAGTAGGTGATTTAGAGTTTTAAATCGGATGAACTTGTGCCCACCTGGCCTAGCGTTTGCCACCCACGGCGTGTCACTCACACAGGAAGTGATATTGGCTGTCCTGTCTCTGCTTGTTAACAGCTGGTTCACTAATGATCCTCCGCCTGTCGGGAGAGCCGCGAGCGAAGCGTCGTCCTCATCAGTCCTGTCGGCCCGGCTCAGCACACCGCCTGCGGGGGAAAGACCCTCGGCACTGCACGCCAGAGAGCTGCAGGTCTCGCGTCATGATCGAGCAGATCAAGGGTGATTGTAATTAGACAGTGACATCGGGTGGCAGTGGGACGCTTGTAATGAGGGCCATGGGGTGGTCTTATGTAGAGAGAGTGAGTGATAGAGACAGAAGCGGAGATATCATGGATTTATGTTTCATAAGGATTACCGGCAAAGGTCAGGCCGGAATCTTGCGGATGCTCAACAGATAGAGTAACAGAATGCTAAACAAAAGGAGGACAGAGTTGACACGGAAACTCAGGAGGAGACAGCTTGACTCTGACAGGCAGGACTGACTGCATATGGTGAGTGAGTGGCCCAGAGTGTTTGGGTGTACAGTAAGTACGGTGGCAAAACTTTGACCTGCCGCGCTTTAATTGTACAGCACTAAGATAATTAATATACTCCACACAGATTCATATGCTGCTATAAAAAAAATAATTATTTTGCTGCAGTGCATTTCTAGATTGCTACAGGGCCAACTTCAATTTTATTTTCATGAAGATGTTTCATAAAAATAAATTTCAAATAACTTTACAAAACTTTGGAGCTATTTAAATAAATGTTTTTTCTATATGACAATAATAAATTCTACATTTACAATAAACTACCAGGTGTCAGCTTTCAAATGAGATCATACTTGTGCATTTAGTGCCAATGGTTTGTGAATGCTTAACAGGTTAAGAATTAACAGGTTAATTCTAGAAGCTTAACAGGTTAATTCTAGTGGTACTGGTGGATTTCCGCGGGAGATTCGAGCACGTCTTTGCACCATTACGTCACATCTGTACACATAAAGAAGGAGTCTCGGCTAGTAGGCAACAGATTCACCCGCTGTAAAATGTAAAAGACTTCGTTCGGACTTCCAAAAAGAATAGTCTGTGATTCTGAATGCCAGTATCGCAACGCATTCTCATCCTTTAACATCATATAGAACACTATATGCAAAAGGAGCGCTATTCTACGCACATGGCAACCGTTATCGTTAATACAACACGCGCTGTGAGGGCTAAGTTTAGGTGTGGGGAAGGGTGTGTCATAGTGTGTCATATTCACGCTAAAGGATTTATGACGTCTTGGGTTTGTGTGTTATATTAACGATAACGGGTGCCATGTGCGTAGTATAGCGTCATTTTTGCATATAGCGTTCTATATGACGTTAAAGGATGAGAACGGGCTGAGTATCGACACCGGCGCGGTGACTGACTCTCCTCAAATATTGTGTTCATCCACGCTGTGCTGTGTCGAGGGTGTTAAAGTACAACAAGTAAAGTTGATAATTCCGCGAATGACTGCAATTGCAGATTTCGAACAGAGATGGCGACAAAGATCTGCGGACTGCAGCTTTAACACTTTTTTGATCCACTTCAAATGTTGAATACTAATAACATATACAGTATGTTTTCATAATCCTGAATTAATCAATTCAATATTTCAGTCATAATTGAGTCATTTTTTCCGTTTGCATGTTATAGAATAGAATAACTTATTTTAGCTTCAATATAGTGGACATCAATGAGGTCCGAAACAACACCGGACCCTATTAAATATTATTGCAAATAGACAAAATTTCCTCTTTTGTTTCCATATTTATGTAATCAGTCCCTTTAATTTCTACCCCACTCTCCCCTATACATCTGTCATAAACAATGAAAAACAGTGTCTATATAATTATCCAAATAATTTTCTTCCATTGTTTATTTTCCACATATTTCCTGACTGAAACAGTTGAAGCGACCTGTTGGCTTGTACATAACGTCCAGTAGAAAACTAGAAACAGAACAGGACTCAAACCTGTGTCTCAGCTGGCTGTGATATATCATTCTCTCCAAAGTACAGACCATGCTCTACACTCACACAAATACATACATTGTTTAAGCCTTCCACCTCACATATTACAATATTATTTCCTGGCAGATTGCGAAATGATTCATATTTATTACCGCTTAATATAACAATTTTTCTTATTTATCTGTCAGCTCGAGCCAAAATACATAAATCAAATATATAGGGATGCAGACTGTAACAATATGTAATTACCACAGTGTCTGGGCCCTCTCCCAATAAACACAATTACAGTGACGCATATTGCTCATATTGGGTCAGATTTTACAGGGCGGCAGACTTTTATGATTCTCACACAGTCTCCGTGTTTATGTGCCGCAGTGTCTCAGAGTGACCGATGCATCGGCTGTTGTTGAACGCTTCTTTAACAGAATCCAGAACAGGACATTCAAACAAACTAATGAACATCTCTAAGTCACTAAGTATTTGAATCGCATGGATTATAAGTGTAATTTGCATCTGGAGACAACAAAGCAATCAAACTTGAGCAAAAGTTCCCCCATCAAGCAACATTCCCTCTTTCCTACGTGAGAAAATAAAAATGAATTTCTGATATTGTATGCGTGTCAGAGCCAGACCGATATTATCGGCCGATATTAGGCATTTTCCAAACTATCGGTATCGGCAGTTAAAATGGCCGATAAATTAATATTTCAAAAATAAAATAAAAACGGACGAAACACGCTTGAACCATGTCATGAGTGTTGGAGTTGTATAGTCTGTCCACGTTGAGTTGGTCACGAGACATACATTGCTTGAATAACAATTAAAAGAACATCTCCATCCGTTCTCTTAACTCAAATAAGCATGACAAAATTTGTGACTATCAAGTCCAGTTTTGGTGCTGTTAAATAAGCCGAAAGTGAAGCGGAATTAGCTAGTAATAATTAAGTTACGTTGTTACAGTGTAGTTGACTGACTGTCCTTTTAACTTTTGACAATGTGACTGAAGTATTTCTTTAATAGTGCGTGACAGTTATAGCAATGAGACGCATCATCTCTCCTTGTTACATTGAAAATGTATGTTTTACAATTTGCAGTATGACGTAATACATTGCTAAATTATGGCTCATC